CAAAACACTTTAAAAAATCTACCACAATTCTGTCCAATGGGCATTAATGAAGAATTTAGTTTATTAGCTCCTCTCTGAGAGTCCAGTTCACTGTTGTGCACTTGCATCCATCAGTAAGACTTCTCTTAGGAAAACAGTAAACAGTACTTTTCTGTTTCATAGATAGGATAGATTGGATTCTTTAAATTTTTTTTAGGAAAAACAGGGCTTGGATAGGTACAGGTATATATCTACATGTGTATGTATATGTATATATTTTCTGTCTGTGTCTATGTGTTTGGAACCTTTGAATTTAGTACATGCAGTAAACTGTTACAGTAAACTCTTAGAGCAATATATAGCAGTCATAGCTCTCAGACACTAAAACAGAAATGAACTGCAGTAAACACCAGCTTTTAATACTGGGACTCAAAGCTTCATTTATATCTGTTATCTGCACTCTATCTGGAAGTGGTAGTCATTTATCCTGCAAATCTATTCCAGTAACATTTTCTGAAACACTTGAAGAAGCTTTATGTTGCATTAACACATCGCAAGTGTTCTCCTTCAGAAGAAGGAGAAAAAATAAAAGAGATTTAATTTCTTAAAAAATGTTATCAGAGATCCATCATTTTCAATTGTCCTTTTACTACTACTATTGGTCATTATATAATCTCTTTCAAAATCGCCTATATATTCATAACCCTGACACAGGTATAATTTAAAGAGAATCATAAAATAAACTTTGACAAGATTTACATAACTATATAGTCTAGTATAATTCTAGAAAACTATTTGTTGGAGGCTTACCTTTACTGATTGATTCAGTTCCATTATAACCTCTCTTGAAAGAGAAAAAACTGCAAAGCTTGGAGTACTTTATGGTTGCCAGTCTGCTCTCAGAGAGTCAAACTCCTCCTTCCCATACCATTGTTCTAGCATTTCCTGTTTCACCTTGGTTACATTGAATGCCAGGAAGTTGTGATGAGACCTCAGTGCAGTACATCTGTCCTACCTGCTCTCTGTCCTTGTGGTATCATCTAATAGTTTACCTATGAACTCTGTGCTTAAACAATGATGCATGTGAATAGCAGAAGGATCTGGGCCAGGTGCTTCTGAGCATGCACAGGAATCTTGCATTTTCAGAATGATAAGAATTATCACAATAATCACACTTCTTAATCTTGTATTAATGGAAGTATTTTTAAGAATTATCACACTTCTTTGATTGTATCCAATTGCCTGATTCTGCCTGTATCAATCATCTTCTTGAATTTACACAAAATTTAACACCTGCTCCCAAAATTACATGAAAGGTAATTTCCATGTTGCCCCCATCTCAAATTCAGTTCTACCAAGTTAAAATAATTTTCGCTCCCTTGTGGTGTATTATATTTGCATTCAAAGATAGAAATTTTAAAGGAAAAAAGGGAAAGCATTTTTGGCATAATGCAGCATTTTAGACACTAGATAGTCAGATATGTATGCCAGTGAAAATAATTATGTTATGGTACAATTCTTGGCATTTCTTAATTTTGAGCATGTTTTAAACAGTAATGTAAACAGTAATGTTCCTCTGAGATAAGGAACATGCAGTATATAATATCCTATGAAAGGTACTATCTTGTCCTGATGTAGTGATTTCAATAGTTTTGAAAAGGTTAATGAACTATCTCTAAAATATGTTTTTGAAAGTTCTCTATATTCCTTGCACATATTAGATCATCCTTTTGGTATTTTAAAACACAAATAGATCCAGTTAGAAAGATGTCAGAGTAAATTTGAGTAAATTTCAATCCTATGAAAAAATCATAAGCTTAAAATTTATTCACAAACCCATACATTTTAAGAAGTGTCAGCATGTCCAGAGCAATGACATTACAATGAAGTAATCCATGAAGCTGGGGCACCAAGGACAAAACCCAGCAGAATAACTGAATGCCACTAGAGCATCCTAAATATGTGAAAGAAGGGCATTCAAAAGGATAAGAAGTCTACAAATAGGTGATGATAAGCAGAAGGTCAATTAAAGAAAAACTACCACAGTAAAAACAGAAGCAATGCTGCTGCGTGACAAATACAGGGATGTTCTTGCAGAAGGAATTGGATTGATCTGTCTGCCACACCATAGAGTTCTCTGCTACTATTAGGCAGCTCCAGCTGTAGCAATACTGCATCTACAGAACCATATGAATTCAGAAAATAAAATATAAATTACACCGCGCTTTCTAGTAATCACTTGCTACTTGTATTTGCAAAGTGTATAATCCATTATTGCCCTATTTAAACAACTTCCTTCAATCACTTTCTCTTTCCTTCTCAAAACAAATCCATCTTCCCCAGAAGCCTGTCTTGCAAAAAGGGGAATGACAGCTGAGCTTCATAGGTGCTTTTAGAGAAGCAGACTATATTTAAGGACTGATGATGTCAAGATGAATGTGGGTTATACCTAAGGTGAAAAGCAAACAATGATGTTAGCTGCCAGCTGTGAGCAGCTATGAAACTCGTGTGTCACAGGGCCAGAATGAGTAAGGAGAATGTCTGCCAGGCTTCCAAGCATTTAATTTCTATAGATTTCCCTCCCCACCAAGGAAAATTCAGAATAATTTCAATTATGTCTTGAAATTAATAAAGTACAATGATTTCCATTGCTGAAATTCAGCTTTTCCCAGACAGGAATAGCTGTAGTTTGGAACAGGATGGTGTCAGGTCTGTCTCAACTACATGGGGCTGGACACTGTTAGGCTCACCTGCAGCATTCTGAAGAAGCAGGGAGGTAGAAGAAACATGTTACTTAACATAGAGGATTGAGAGGGCCCAGCACTCTTCCAACATCCTTTTATGTACAAGATTTTATCCACAGTTAATCTATACAGTCATGTCATTTTACTCACCTAATCAGTAACGTATGCACAATAAGTATTTGCAAGAAACAGTCCTAAGCTATAATCACTGAGTTCTGATTCAAATAAAGCAACCTTTAATGTCTGTATTGTCTTGTATGTCTATACCATATAAGCCATATTTGTATGCTAATTAACTATGAAGGGGAGTATCAGAATCAATACAAAATTCAATAAATCTTGATATATAGTTCTATAGATTATAATTTAACAGATAACACAGCATTTTATACTAATAAAATTTAAAAGGAACTAAGCTAGTTTTTTACAAGCCACCTCTTTCAGGTCTATATCCTTCTCTATGTTGAAAACACAGACTGGCCAAAGTTCTTCTCATTGCTTTTTTTTTGCTTGTTGAAGGCTATTAGTACTTTATAGAATAGTTATATAAAGTGTTCAATAGCAAAAACTGTAAAAAAGAATAGTGTCAAAAAGCTCAAGGATGTAAAAAAGCTCAAGCACTTGTATCAATGGAAGTATTTTTAAGGAGAATGAAAGAAAGTAGTAAAGATGGTAACAGTCCTGATTTTTAAGTTATCCTATTTTTAGCTAGTAGTTTAAAAAACAGAACTGCCTCTTGCCTATGATTTATGACATCAAAGCTCAAATGCATATGCAAAATGGAGAAATATTTCTTAATCTAGTAACCAGAAGAGACAGCAGATATAGTTTATGATTTTTTTTCACCATGATTGTTAAAAGTTAATATCTGAATGAGAGACATGAAGTAGCTTCCTCATTTGCTTTCAACCTTATGAATTTCTGTTTTGCACAGAGGCATAGTTTCACAGACAAGAGTACATGCCCTCATTTTGAAGGACACCATAGTTCTGACTAGGAGAATTTCTGATGAAACTTTGTGTAGAAAGACAAGAGAGAAGACATTGTTTCTTTCTTTACACAATGGAGGCCAGGGTTTTGTTTTTTGTGCAGGATTTAGACCCACAAACATTTGTTAAACACACTTAGAGAACATATTCCAAACAAAATTCTTTGGGGAACTTGAAGGGTGAAAAGATTTATTTCTTCATCAAGTTTGGACAAGGAAATAGCACGGAACTGCTGTTCCAAACAAAAATGGTGGCAGGTCTGTGCAAGGATAACAAACTGAATTTTATGTTCATAGTAAGTTTTACTGGGAAAAGCTTAAATGACTGGGACTTGGGGCAGGTAGTTCATTAGACAGTGGGTTTACACTCTTGTAACTTTGAGTGGGATGTGTGCTCATTAAGGGGTTAGTGGCGGAGGTGAGTGCAGAGTTCAGATCTCACGGATCTTTAATTAATGAAGTAGTGGTTTACCACCAGCTGCTGAGGATAGTGTTTAAGCAAGCACATAATTGACCTGTTCTGTAAATTCTAGGGAAAAAAAGTCATATGTAAAAAGCCATATATAATTTCCTTTAGGAATCTAGGACATGTACATGTCTAGGACATTTCAGTCGTACTATGACTGAAATGATACTCTTCTGAAAGACTTAATTATCTACAAATTCAATTCACCTCTGTTTTCCTTCGCCTTCCACTTTTCCATATTCAAACCTATCATATTCCAGAACAGAATCCTAATGTACACCACTGCCCCTCTATGGTCTTTTATTTCAATCAATGCATGACCAACAGCAATGTGAACATGCAAAACTGAGATCAGTTGGGTTTTTTTTAATGTATTCAGAAACAGTGCTTCCCAGCATTTTTCACACTCTCTTGTAGAGTAAATGTGACACTGAGTCATCCATATTTGTAACAAGATTAATGGAAGTCCCAAAGTCACAAGTAAAACACAATCAGCACATCTCCCCACTTCCCAGTCCTGTATTTTCCTACACATCATCTTTCTTAGTACACTCCTTCAGCATTCAGGGTGTGACAGCTCACTCTAAATAAGATGTCAAGCTTAATTGAACTACTCTGCAAAAAATAAAATCTTCCATAAAGGAAATGTTTTAAAAGCATAAAAGAAGGCACGATATCTGTGTCTCTGGGGTTTTTTGTCTTTTAAAACTTAGTTTCTTTAACCATTGCTGAAATTATCTAAAATGGTCGCCAATGCAAGGAAGAAAGCAAAATCAGCACAAACAATCTCTTATGATTTGGAAAGGCATAGAGGGCAGTTTACCTGCAATTGTCAACATTACTTCTTCCCACGGCGTTAGAGAAGCTGAAAGGTCCGACGTTATTGATTTCTGTGACTTTTATACAGCCAGTGAAGTTGTAGACGGGTCCGGAAATCTACAAAGGAAAAAATGCACACAGTTCTTTCACTTGTAGTCATTGTGATCAAGGTATTTATTTTTGTGTGGAGGAATACAGGTCATGGGGAATGGTAAACAGGGAAGATTTGAAATTTGTAAGTTTATCACTTCCCCTCTCAAAAGATTTCTAGTACCATTAATCGTGTTTCAAAGATGCCTAAGGACCTACTAAAAATGAGAATCACTGCAGGGGCTCTGAAAATGCAGAGAACAGTAAGTTGTTACGCACTGCCAAGGACCCATTTCTAACAATGAAGTCAGGTTTAGATAGTTGCAGAAAGAAAAATAAAAATATCTTGAGAAACAATTTGCAGAAAGCATAATGGAAATCATTAAATGTTTTTTAAAGCCCAACAGGAGCATTAAGCCTGCCAGAAAGGCTTTAGAGCTAATAGACCAGCTAAGTATAGAGGGAATGTTCAAAGAGACAGAGACAAAGCTCTAGCAGGAAATGTAAATGACTCACCAAATGATAATTTAACGAAGAGTTGTTCTGGGAGGTTCCCATGATGGAACCCCTTTTTACTTGGGGTACATCAGAGATCTGTCTCAAATTGAATTACTACTAGAAAACGTTTTTTAAGAAGACCTCAAAAAGTGAACAGTGGCAAAAAAGTAGAAAGATCAAACAGTGTTTGCCTGGGATTCTTATGGAAAATTACTGTGGTCATAACTTAAAATAGCATCTATACCATGGGAATGGTAGATACGGATGATTTGGAGGAGGGGGGCAGGCTTGGGTTTCTGCTTTGTATGATTTTAAAAATGGAGACAAGACTAGGGCATGCAAGGACACACCTCGAACTACAGATCTGTAAGTCCCAATTCCATTCAAGACAGCAAATATGAATTACACTGAAGAACAGAATTAACATATATGTAAATGAATGTAATGTACGGGGGAATAGTTGAGAGGGTTTCTGAAAAGGGAAATTTTAACTCACAGGAGGAACACTGACTATGTGAAAAAGGATGCCTTGGCATATAGCCTTTGATTTCCAAAGGATTTTAAGAAGTTTCTGTGTTAAAAGATTCTAAAGTAACTCAGTCGCCCTGGGATAATAAGGAAGGCCTTCAAGAAAATAGAAGAATGGTTAAAACAGAAGCAAAAAAAAATTGTGATTAAATGGTGAGGTTTCTCAATATGGAGAGTCCCTAGAAATTCTCTTTGCAAGTCTCTATTAGGGTCTGTGGTCTTCCATGTATTTAAGTGGCTCAACTTTTCTGCACTACTCAGGAAAGGAAAACCAAAATCCTGAGAACAGGATTTCACAACATGCAAGAGTGTCACAATACGCAAAATTATGCCTTACAAGGTATGTAGGGATGATGATATATATGAGAGTTTTTGAACAGAGTAACTGTACAGACCAGGAATCTTCAGTTAGGAAAACCCACTCTCAAAGAGAGATCGAATAGAGCAGTGTGCAGAAGAATAAAGAGTTTTCAGTTTCTCAAAATACAGAGTCAAAAGGACACAAAATGGCATGAATCACTGTGAAGATGAAGGCAAGGTAAGGGGTTTGCTTTTCCTACAACTCAAAATTAAGTTGTGGGACTTTGCCGTAGTGTGTTGTGGATGGTACAAGTGTAAATGGTGTTAAAAATAAATCATATTGAAAGGAAAGAAGAGCTGTGTCCCTCCCAGCACACAGATAGGCTGTACAAGTACAACATGGTTGAAGCAAGGAGAATAGCTTTTCTCTGCACTGCTCAGCCACTCTGGAACATAACACAGTGTGCCATGCCATACACTATAAACAGAATGAACGGGCCTTCCAACCCATGGGAGGGCTCAAAGAGTTCACTAACAATTTATTGTTTATTTCCTTAGCAGCAAAGGCTTACAGGAAGCGAAGACTTTAAAAGAATATATTATTACACTGCAACAATGTGGAAAGTTTTGTAACCATATGTAAAGTGGCATTTAAAGTCAACAAAGTTCAAGTGTGGCAAAGGTAAGGTGGTTTCTTTGCGGAACAAACATAGAGGATTACTATGAAGCTTCCTGGAATTTAAAAGAAACCAAAACCTTAATTGAACACCTGGATGTGAACACTCTCCTCCAAGTTAACTTTGCACATTAAAAAACTATTTGATGTACCACAAGGGCTGGCAGAGGTTATTCATATGGATTACAGAAAACAGAGCACTCTTTCTCCTTTGTCAGCCACTCTGGCATGGAAATAATAGTGATGGACTGCCAAGATGGACATACACTCAGCAGTCTGCTTTTGCTGCCATCATTGTAATAAAATACACCAGGTAATCTGAAGATGTCGTGTCCTACTAACTTCACATTTTAATTTTTATAAGAGATGCTTGTTGTTTTTTACCCTTGCCTTTTATAAATAGTAAATAAAATAATTTTCGAACTAACAGGATGCAGGATCTGTTATAAATTTATCATGAACACAGACAGAAATGGTTACAGGATTCTGAGCTTGAAACTACTTGTTTTACTTACTTTATTTACTACCAGTAACATTACCTCCTGCAAAATGAACAATTTAACAGTATTTTTTAATATTGGCTGCATAAATCAACTTGTTAAAGCTGTGATCCTTTTTTTTTCTCTCTGAGCCTCATATGGTTGTCTCAGTCATATCATGCATGTGTTTCAACAAAAGTCCTTTTTCTCAGGATTGTAAAAATGAACAAACAAAAAAGAAAACAAAAGAAATCAATAAATGCAAAGGACAGATACAATATAATTTTATGACAGCTACTGTGCCAAGCTAAGTTCTTCCAAGACTCAGGTATAGGGAAAATTCACTATGTCAACCTATGGTCCATTTTGCACACTAAAGAGCAAATTAGTCACTTGGTTTGGAAATCAACATTTAGTTGCATATTTCCACAACAATTTTCACAACATAGTTTCCTTCCCTCACTACTGGCTGGCCTCCTAATAATTTCTCTCACATAGATATGTACATATTTTGAAGGTAATGCATTCCTCCAAAGCAATCTTAAAATTATTACTTATTTGTTTTTTAACAATAACTGGATTATAAACATTTTGGTCAAACAAATTCTTGCATTTGTTCTGCTATGCTATCTATACAAAGAACTAATATCTTACAGATCTATAGAAATAAGACCTATTTATATATATAATAAAAATAAATGGCCTTTATTCTCCTATTTTTGAGAACAGATACCTTTTATGTTTAGCAGAATATTAACATGTAGACTTCACAAGTAGTTGAGTTCCCTTCCATTTACAAAAATGCATTAATATGCTGACAAACTGTAACACTTAAATTACCTGAAAATGTCAGGGCCAGAGCAACACCAGAAATTTAGTTTAATAAAATTCACTATCCACAATCTATTCAGGTATGTTTGACATATAGTAACCATGCTCTTTAGGCGCCCTTTATACTTGACAAAAATGACTACAGGTACTTACCTTGTAGGAAAAGTTCACGCGTATATGCCAAATAATTTATTAACATCCCTTACTGATGAGCCCAAATTAAGCTGCTGCTAGATAGAATTAACCTAGAATGATTTCCTAATGAAATGAACTTACATGTTGTCAATTCATTCCAGATTCATAAATAATAGAATTGTTTTGGCATATGATCTGAGCATTTATTTAAAAAGTATGATTAACTGGAAAGAAAACAAAGCATAATCTTTCAAACAATCTTTCCTCATTTGTCTCCAATCAAGATAAATTTTATATATCTTAGAAATCATCACTATGTATATTACTGTATACCAGATCACTACTTAATAGTCTTTGACATCTTTGTGATTCCTGAAATACGTCTGATTTTGGAGTCTGATTATTAGAACTCTCTTCAATAGACTACAAAACTTTTAAGTGCAATAAGTTTTGTTTTCTGCTAATGATTAGAGTAATACGAAACAGTCATAATGAACTCTGAAATTAAGTAAACCATAATCTCATCTCTGTATTCTCTTTAAATTTGCCATAAAAACTTGGCTTGCCATCTCATTTGTAACCTGCTTGAAGCCTGCAACTGCAACTGAACTTCAATATCAAGCTTATAAAAGAAAAATATGAAAATCAAAAATAATATTTAAAAAAACCAAAAAACGCGACGTCTAAATTCCATGGACTGTTGTGGTGATGCTTCCCCCAAAAGAAGAATTTGGGATTTTTTTCTTTAAAAATGTCATTTTAAAACCTATTTTCCTCTCTTAGATACTGAATTATATACAGCACAAAATATAAATATACAGACTATCAAATTTGCAGCAAGACAATCAGAATGGGCTTAATCTAATAGGACATAATTCTGCCTCTATATTTCACTTACTGAACACTGTCATGGCAGCTTCTATAATGGGATGTGTACTTCGCTAAAGTTTTCAAGATTTTGTTGAAAATCAACATTAGTGACTCAGACATCACCTTGCCCAAAATGTTTCTTGCTGATTTAAATTCTTTAAAAATAAATTAATAAAAATTAAACCTCATTCATTTTAACTCTGGTAGTTCAATCAAAATGGACGAAGCTTGGTTAATTTTCATAGCTACTAATGAGAGAAAAATGTACTTCCCTTTGAGAAGTCCTGCCGAAGTAGAAAGTGGCAGGGGAGTATGTCTTTGATATATCTATAGTGTTCATTACTTCACTTCCTAGTATTTACTTCTAATAACACTTTCCATACTCAGTTCAAATTTTAATTTTATTTATGGATTCAATTAATATTAATATTTGTGGATTCAAATACTTCATTAGAATCCAGAAGCATTTTTATGGTTAGATAATGGAGTATAAGGCAAAGATTTTAATGACATTTCAAAATGTGTAGGAAAATGAGAAGTAGTATTAGCTCTCAAACAAAAGTAATAAAAGAAAGCACTTAAATATGGGAGCAGGAATATTGCTTCAGCTTCTGTCCTGGTACTAGTGTAGAAATGGGAAATGGGAATATGTAATGGTAAAATTGCCTACCTGCTATCATATCAATAAATTGGGTGAAACACAATGGAAC